ATGGCGACCCGGGCGTTGCCAACACTCACCCTCTGATAAAATACGTACAAATTTTTAAAAGAAGAAAGAAAATGCATCAACTTGAGCAACAATAACACAATAGATCCCCCACATGTCTAAAAGAATAAATGACGAATAAGAAAATAAATGACTGAACCAGAGAGCCCAAAGATCAATTCCTGGACTGTCACCAGGAAGCCTTCTCTCTCCGAGGCCTGGAACTACTGTTCCCACTGCCTCTGCTTCCTTCTTTCCTGGGGGAGAAGCCGAATCAGCCCCCCAGCAGCTTTGGTTCAGAGCCTAGCCATTCAGCATCTTCTGCACAGCGGGCTCCTTCCCCAGATATCCTAGTTAAACCCTCAAGCTGGGCTGAGCCCCGGGGCCAGGGGAGTGCAACACCCCGGCTGCTGGCAGTGGTCTGTCCTCACCAATCTCCTCCAAACCTCCAAAGCCACAACCCTGTCTCCTGCCTCGACATCACATATGGAAAGCCGGCCACTGCATTCCTGACAGACCTGCAGCACAGAGTCCGGGACACTGAGGCACTCCTGGACCGGGGTGAAGTAAACTCATGAACGCCAGGCTGGGGTAATCAGTGGACAGCCCATCGACCAGACTGTGTTTAAAATGATCAATTGAGAGAAATTGGGCCATCAGTGAAACAAACCTACTGAATTTCCAGAACTCTTATCCAGAAAAGATCCCAAAGAACACCACTTAAAAGCTGTAGGTTTGTTGACCCCGTGTTTAATGCAGCAACTCTGCACTGCCCATTCATCAAAAACATCATGCAAATGCAAACAAAGGGAACTTAATTTGGTGAAAAAACTTTCTGAAGCCAGGCATACAGGGGTCTTCGAAAGGACCATTTTTGGGGATGTGTGCTATCAAACCCCTACTGTTCCACTGCTGTTATTCTCCCATTTCATATAGTGCTCATATTGTCTTACTTATTTTAGACTCAATAATTCTTGAATTGCATTTAACATAATTATAAAATAATCCTTTGGAAAGTTTTCTCACATAAAGGATCTAAAATCATAATGTTCCCTAACTACCTCCTATACACCTGTTAATTACACGATGATCTTACCATATAAACCAACTCCTACAATGTAAGAAAGTTTTACGGGTTCTCAGTTACACAAACAAGTGATGCTACAATGAAACAGTGCTTCACAGTAGTTCCAAATGCAGGGATGGGCGTTCGGCATGGAGCTTAGGACATCAATTGGGACACCCCCATCATGTTCTCAGGTGCCTGGGTATAGTCCAATCCAGTTTCTTGCTAATGCATAGCCTGCCCTCCCCCACGCCCCCAGGAGACTCTGAATGAGGTCCCGACTCCTGGCTGCTATGGAGGGTACCAGGCAACACAACCAGCAGATGGAAGCACGCGCGCGCGCTCTCTCTCTCAAATAAAGGTGAAAGTTGAAAAATTTTAGAGGTGGTTTAAAATATAAAACATGCCTACTCTTTGACCCAGAAATGTTATTTTGTGTCTTAACATAAATACATATGCACATACAAGGATGTAAGCACAGCTAGTGATCCAGAGCTTTGTAGAACATCATGGAATCCAAGAAACATGCAGGGGAATATGTATAATTCTATTTCCAACACTAAGAGGATGGAACTGGAGAGAATACGTATTTACATAAACACGAACAAGTGGACATAAGGTGCGGTGGTCTGAATGTTCTCCTCCCCTCCCCCCAAACATCCCCCTGTTCAACCCCTCACTCCCAAAGTCACGGCCTTAAGAGACAGGGCTTTGGGGCCATGATGAAGCCAGGAGAACAGAGCCCTCACGAATGGGACTAGCATCCTTATCACCGAGGCCACTCCAGACCCCTCCACCCCACAAGGATGTAGCAGCTGGTGTCTCCCAAAAACCAGGAAGTGGTACCCCCAGACCCTGAGCTTGCCAGCGCTATGACTGTGGTCTTCCAGGCTCCAGGAGGCTGAGAGCTCATCTGCATCATTTCCAAGTCACTCGGTGTACGCTGTTATGTTATAGCAGCTGGGAAGGACCAGGACTGTGCACACGGCTTACAGCACAAAGCAGAGATGCAGAGCCACTTCCCAAGTGTTTCTCTGTGCTGTCTGACACAAGCACACACACAAACTCTAACTGAAAAGTGAAAAGGTTTATTCTTTTAAGTTTACAGAAGGCGTGTGTTTGTGGGTGTGGTTGGTTGGTTTGGGTTTTTTGTGGGACTTCAGCTCGGAATGATGGGCACTGCCCCAGTTCCCAACATACGGCTCATACTCATCCCACAAACATGAGTGCTGTGTAATGCCAGCAACGTGGAGGATTCAAGAAAGAGGCTGAGGATCACTGAGGACTTCCTCCCAAGAGCAACACAAGAGGGGGGGCGGGCGGAGAGAAGAACGCTGACAAGGCACTTAACACAATGAAAGAACGCTAACACGGCACAATGAAACAAGGGAATGGGCCCTTCGCGAGGCCGAGCAGCTAAAGTCCTCACCTTGAATACGCCGGGATCCCATATGGGCGCTGGTTCTAATCCCAGCAGCTCCATTTCCCTTCCAGCTCCCCGCCTGTGGCCTGGGAAAGCAGTCGAGGACGGCCCAAGGCTTTGGGACCCTGCACCCGCGTGGGAGACCCGGAAGAAGTTCCTGGCTCCTGGCTTCGGATCGGCATAGCATCGGCCGTTGTGCTCACTTGGGGAGTGACTCATCGGACGGAAGATCTTCCTCTCTGTCTCTCCTCCTCTCTGTATATCCGACTTTCCAATAAATAATCTTTAAAAAAAAAAGAAAGAAAGAAAGAAAGAAAGAAAGGAACAAGGGAATGGAAATGACCAGCAGGTCGTGAAGCCTGTGAAAAGCAGCTCCAGGCTGGGAATTCACCCTCACACAGCGGAGACACCATGGGTTTCCAGCCGTGCTGCCCCCAGCCAGTCTTGCAGTTGAAGTGAAATTGCATTTATTAAGTTGTTTCACACCAGCACAAGTCCTGACAACCCTCCAGCTTGCTGGTTCAAAACACTCAATGACAAGGACTGCTTCCTAGGTTTTCAAACCCAGGACAGTGGGTGGTCACAGCTGCGATCATCCAGAAAACGGACGACTGTGGCCACGCCACCGTCCCCTGATGCCTGTATGGCACTGGACAGTAGACAGAGCTCTTTGGAACACATGAATCAAGGTTTTAACTGCCAAGAGAGTGCAATTAAAAGATGGATGCCTAGCATTTCAAAGATATGCAACAGTTTAATCTGTGATCACTGAAACAGTGGCTGAGCATGGATTTGACGTGCATGCAGTGAGCTGCATGAACGTCCACACGGCGCAGTGGACCCTGAAGGACTTGCACAAACCGGAAACCACCACAGAGCAAACGGCGTCCGCTCTCTACAAGCAAAGGTGCACATTCTGGAAGAAGGTCTTCCCCACTGGGCTATGACTGGAGTAAGAAGTAACCCACCCACGCATTTAAAAAGGAGGGGGAGGGGATCCTGGGGGGGAGGGAACATCCTTACCAAAATATTTCTTATACTAGTACTTCCTCAGTGACAGGAAGCACTACTTAAATTCAGGTGCTACATCACCCAGTGGTGACGTTACAAGCAAGGATCCATAGAACTGTAAAGAGATTTTCCAAGTTTGAAAACTGAAAAAACTAACTGTAAAAAGGTAACGTGGGTAGGGGTGGGGGGTGGATCACACGGTGGCACAGTGGATCAGGTCTCCCCTGGCAGCACAGGAATCCCGTCGCAGCGATGGCTTTTATCCCAGCTGTCCTGCCTCCGACTCAGCTCTCTGCCAGTGCGCCTGAGAAAGCAATAGTGCTTGGGCCTCGTCACCTATGTGCGAGACCTAGGTGCGTGTTCTTGGTTCAACTTGGTTCACCTTGGCTGTTGTGGCCATTTGGGAGAACAAATCAGAGCGTGAAGATCTCTTTCTTATTCTGCCTTTCAGATAAGGAAATCCTTAAAAAGAAAGAAAATATAACTAAGTACTCAGCAGTATGCTAAACCTTCCAAAGGAAATATGTGGACCCGTACTTCTAACATCAGACTGTGACAAGAAATGGCCGAGGCTTCCTGCCTTCTCCAGCTACCTCCTGCACAGGACATGGAACATTCTGGGGACACACACCAAACACCCAAGCTGGTAAGCTTTACTTTGCCTGCATTCAGCCACGTGCAGGCCGAAGCAGGACACGGAGGCCGGGTGAATCCGCCAAGACCTGCAGCATCAGGCACCATCCAGGAGGGACGAGAACTAGAACTCAAGTCCAAAGTCAAAGGAGGTGAGGCGATATCAAGCGAATCCACTTCATCAGAGGCTGAAGTTGAAAGCAAAGAGTGAGACTACAGGGCTTGATTGGGACATTTCTCTTGGGCAAAAAAAATCCTCTTGTGTAATAAGATTTACGTTATGATGAAAACTATGAACTTATTCTTGGGACAAAAAAAACAGTGTATCAAATGCTGCTTTGTGGCAAAAAAAAAAAAAAAAAAACACCTGTATGACAGCCCAATTCGAAATCATCTTCATGGGGCAATGCTGAGGAAGGTCTCACTTTGTTTTCCAGATACACAAAGCTGTGTGAAGCTTCTCCAGTACCTCTCTCAATACTTCCCCCTTCAAATCCTTCCCTTTTTAATGCTCAGAACCCACAGCCATCTTACTTAGCTTTTCCTTACTTTCTTTTTAACCAGCCTCTTGGGTGCTATGACATCCAAAAACCACCTAGGAAGCTCGTCACACAACAAAAGCACACGCCACTACAGACGAACGGGACCAACAGAGAGGGGCTGAGAGCGGGGACCGAACTCACTCCCCGACAGCCTCACTGCAGGCCCGAGTGAGGAATCCTGAGCTCAGTGAGAACCCCCGCCCCTTTGGGGTTATTTCTGCTGAGTGTGAAACAACAGGAGCCACACCCCCCACCCTGAGTGTCCGGGGATGCACCAAGCAGATCACCACCCGGACCACACGGGAGGGTCATCCTTCTCCAGACGTACCAAGCTGGTGAGGGAGTTCCTTTTCATATAGAGCCTCTCCAAGTGCTGCAGTCCTCCGTCTTTGAGCATTTCCACTGGGAAATGGTGCAGATTCCTGTAATTCAGGAACAAATTCTTGTGCTTTTCCTGCCTTGCCACAGAGATGGTCTTACAAAGCTCAGATGCCATGGCTGCACGTATCCCAGGAGGCACACCACAGCACTACATGTCGTCAGGGTCGGTCCATCCCTGTACAGGAACAAAGGCGGGAACCCCGGTTAGACTCCCTGCAGGCACGGCCCTAGGAGCCTGTCAGTACAGTCACATTCACACCGACATGAAAACTCACACTCTACTTCCAACCCCACGTCTTTCCTTCACAACTACAACTGTCCACAATATATTTAGAAGGTGTTTAAATGCACACAAAGCAGTCATTAGCTACGGCCCTAATGGAACACATTGACCCTGAGACAGGAATCTTTGTCCAGAGAATAGAGAAGATATTAACCTAAGAAGATACTTAAAAAGTCAAATTCATCAACCCGCACTCCCTTTTTGAGCTACATTGTTTCACATTCAGCTTAAAACATTTCAAAAATACTCAAACATGTATATTAAAATATAAGTAACTGGTATCTAGCTAGCATCTTCATTTACTTCATCTTACTATTGTCCTAGAATCCATCTATTTCTTTACTGTTGTCTATCTCTTTTTTTTTTTAACATTGCAGATTATTAAAAGTAGCAAGGAGATAGGCCCAGGGTCACAATATTATTATTTTAAATTATTTCAATGACAGAAGAACCTCTGCAGGAAGATACCAGAACATTATGCTTTGCTAGTCTGGTCTGTTTGGGCCTCAGCTGCCTAATATATAAAATAAAAGGGCGGGTGCTCAGCCTAGCAGTTAAGATGCCCACACCTCATACAGGAGTCCCCAGGTTCAGGGCCTGGGTCCAGCTCCTGGGCCCACCTTCCTGCCAAGGTAACCCCCAGGAGGCAGCAGTAATCGCCCAAGGCACCGAGTTCTTGCCAACCCGCAGGACAGTTGGACTGCATCCCTTCCTGCTGATTTCTGTCTTGAGTACTGCAGGCCTCTGTGGAGTGACCCAGGGCGTGGGGGTAACCCAGAGGGTGGAGGTGACCCAGGGCGTGGGGATAACCCGGGGGGGGGTGGTGACCCAGGGCGTGGGGGTAACCCAGGGCGTAGGGGTGACCCAGGGCATGGGGTAACCCAGGGGGTGGGGGTGACCCAGGGCGTGGGGGTGACCCAGGGGATGGGGGTGACCCAGGGGCTAGGGGTGACCCAGAGGATGGGCAGTGACCCAGGCAATGCGGGTGACCCAGGGGATGGGGTGTTTTCTCTGTCTCTCTGCCTGTGCATATGTGTTGAAGAAATCTACTTGAAAACAAACAAAATGGAGACAGCAGATAAGGATAGGTTTAAAGCCCTAAGTTCGGGACAGTTCATTTTAAATTCTCTTCTAGCCCAAACTGACACAGGCTGGAAGAGAAGTAACATTTCCCGTGTGATCCACAAGGCAAGGGGCTCAAACCTCACCCTCACTTGACAGAACAGGGGACAACCCAGGGCCTCACCCATCTGGCCAAGCTCACAAAGGGTTTGCCGTGGGTTCCAGCAATTCCCAAAGGCTGTGTTCTTCACAGACCCTGACCCCCAGGACCCTGCAGGGTACTCACAACTACAAACAAGTTGAGGTTTACTCAATCAATCTCTTTTCCTGGACACCTCTTCCAAACTCTTACACTGATTTTAACAACAAGCCTCCCCCCAACCTCTGGGCCAATGTTGTGGTAGGTCATGTGAGGCTATCTCCTGCAATGTTGGCACTCCAGATGGGTGCCAGCTGGAGTCCTGAATGCTCCTCTTCAGATCCTATTGGTGGCCTGAGAAAGCAGCAGGAGATGACCCACATCCTTGGACCCATGTCATGCATGTGGGAGACCCAAAAGAAACACATGGCTTTCCTGCCTAGCCTAGCCCTGACCTTTGTGGCTATCTGGAGAGCGAGCCAACACGTGGAAGATCTCTGTGTCTCTTTTGACAACTTCAGACAAACAAAGCCAGAGAGAAACTTCCCCTGGGGTTGGACTAGCCTGAAGCTGGGAGCCAGGAATTCCACCCAGGTCTCCCAGGTGGATACGGATATGGAGTAGAGAAGCCAGGACTCAAACCCACAGTCCCATGTGGGATACAGACATCTCAAATGGCAGCTTGACTGGCTATGCCACAGTGCCCACTTGCCATTTTTAATACAACAGCAATCTACATTAATAAAAATGCGATAATAGTCCCAAGATAATCTAAGAATCTGAAGGCAGAAAGCTGACAGTCCTGCCACCTCCAACTGACCACATGGCCTCTACAGGCCAACCACGTCTACCTGCCAACACAAGCCACTGTCCTCTCCTGCCTGGCCTCCTGGTGTCCAGCTGGGTCACCTCTATGCACATATGACAGCAGTGTGCCTTGGAACATGCAAGTCTAATTATGGCTCATCACCTCGGGCTCCCAGCTCACTAACTAAGCCCTACAGGAGTTCTGTAGAAAATCACGCTTGTGCCAGGCCCTCAGGGCACCTCACCATCTGGCCTGCCCACTGCTCCCACCTCAGCTGTCACACCACCCACGGCTTCTCACCAGCCTCCCCGGCTTTTCTAATTCTTGAAACTTTCAAGCCCTTCACAACACTTGCTGTTCTCTTGGTTTGGAAAGCAGGACCAGCACCCTCCGATATCCAACCTAAAAATTATGTAAAATTATGTCACTGCTCCAAACTGACCAAGAGGTTTTTTTTTTTTTTTTTTTTTTTTTTTTTTAAGAATCCTCACACTTTGCTCACCACTCGTCGGCACACACACCTGCTCACTGCCAAGCTAGTCAAGGGCAGAACTGAGCTGCTTTTCTTCACGCCTGGATACCCGTATCAATCATGTACCCATGTCAAGACCACTCAGAGACGATACAAACTTGCCAAAGAGTGGAGAGCTCTAACCCTCACACCTTGGCATTGCAGTGGAGGTAAGATGAGGCACACGTGCCAGACGAGGAAAGTGCAGTCTCAGGGGGCAAGACAGCAGAGGAGGGCTCCCCAGCAGCTGGATGGAGGCCAGGGCTGTGCAACAGCCCCTTCCACAAACTTGGCCGTGGCTGCGCCTTCCACACCTGCAGGGCTTGCTTTGCCAAGCAGAACCATCTCCAAAATCCACTCCCTGGCTGACTGGAGCTAGCTGCCTCCAACACTTCCCTACACCCTGCTGAAGTGCATCTTGCTAGGAAGGCAGTCTGGGAGACTCAACAAATCCCATCAGAAAAGCCACCAAGGATTTGCAGCAAGGCCGAAGGAGGGTTCTGCAACACACACAGCCTTTGTAACCAGGTAATCCTCTCAGCTCCCGCCTGGTGCCCACAGTCACAGCAAACGGTGGCCCTGCAGGCACGCATCCTCAGGGGTCTCAAGCAGGAAGGGGGTCCCCGATCCTGCCTTCTCCGACTCTAACTCAGTCCTAAGAAGCAGGCAGCAGCAAAAGCTTTCCTACAGGTGCCCCCCACCCGACTCCCCTCGGGACTCAGGCAAGCCCCAGGCGTCGTGCCCACCCGCGTCAGTCCTCACAGAGGGCAGCAGTGAGCCCAGCGACCCCCTCGGCGGGACCCGAGCGTGGACAATGCCTGCCGCGAGCCACCCCACGCGAGGACAGCGCACTCACCTCGGCGCGAGGAGCCGGGGCGGGCAGGGCTCCCGAGGTGGGCGCCGGGGAGGCCGGAACACGAAACCTCGCGGTAGCACGCCTCTTCGCGCGCGCCCATTGGCCGAGAGCGCGCCCCGCCCACGCGCGGCTCTCGCTTCCGGCTCTGGCGGCGTGGAGGGGCACCCCGGCTGCGTGTGCCTCAGCCCGCGGTCCTGGTCGGTGGGGAGGTCCGTGAGGCGTCCTCTCCTGACTGCCCGGCCCGCGGTGTCCTGGAGGGCGGCGGCCTCTCCTGTCCTCCCCGTGGTGGGCACTGACACGGGGGCCCGCCGCCCCTGACTCCGAGGCGCGCGGTCCAGCTAATTTTACCTTGACATGGTCAGTGCTACAGCTTAACCAAGAAAGCAGAATTACTTAAAAAAAAAAAAGCAAGAAACAAAACACGAGCTCTTATAAAAGACAGGAGTGTTAATAAAATATCGGGTTTTTTTCCCACTAAATCTGGCCTGCTCAAGTATACTGTATACTATACGGCATCCTGTATGTCCTGTTTTTGAAGAAGCTTTTCCATAGTTTGATAATGCTTAAGGGTTTGTGGTACTCAGAAGTGTTTGGCTGGACTTAAAATGGGGAGATACATTGGAGCACTTTATTTCTAAAAATCTTTAGAGCATTAAAGATAAATAAGACTGCTAAACGAAGTTTTTTTTTTTAAGGGAGGGCATTAATAATGGAAATGACTTATGTTAAAAGAATTTTTATTTCCTCCCCAAACTGACAACAAAAGTTTCCAAGCAATCCCGTGTGCCAGTGGAGCATCCTGCGACCACTCAGTCGCGGTCTGTGGAGGGTGGGCTCGCACACTCGCTCTCAAAGTGGGTAGAAATCCTCTGGCTTCAAATGACACGGACAGGCAGGCAATACCACTTTAAGAGAATTCCTAGGAAAAGCCAACCCAATTTCAAAATTCCCACCTCTGCTTACCAAGGATTGGATTACAAACTTCGACAAAATGCTCATCTCCACTTCCTATTGGCTGGCGCTCTGTCATTCACTCTGGCGCCTGGCGTTTGGTGAGGACCAGGTTGCTTTCTGGGAAAAGGCGGCTGTGTGCGAGTTCTTTGGTGAAGGTTTCCTCAGACTTCCCGCGCTCAGCAAGGCCGACCGAGTCTCACCAAACTGGCAAGTCCCGCTCCCTAGGCAGCTGTGTGGTTTGTGGAGGGGGAACGGGGGTCGGGAGCCTCTGCAGCTGCCTGGGGTGCACCCCACCGAGGACTGAGCCACAAAGTGGGAGGTTGGAGAGTTAAGGAAGCTTTTCTGGCTGTTGGCTAGTTTTAAGTAGTTAAGCATCAAAGAAAAACCGGAAAACCGGAGTCTGTTGGGAGATGTAAGAGCCTTTGGAGAGTGTCATTTCTTTAGCATTATCTCTGGATTATCAGTGGGTTTTTGAAAGATAAAGCAAATAAGATGATAAGATTAATTTTAGGTGTGTTTCTACTGTAAGGAATGTTGCCAAGTTATCCTTGCATAAATGGATTTTAAAAGATTTAGCAAATGCAATTTTTAATTAAATAAGTGGGTTTTTTTTTCTTTATTATGCCTAACATAATAGTTGATCCATCTCTGCAAAATTGTGTGAGAAAGTTGGAGTTGGCTTTGGATGGACATCTTGTGTGAAACACACTGCCTAGTGGCCAAGCAGAGCAGGCATCTGAAGCAGAATTAGCCGGGGATGGGTGCCAGGGTAAGTTCTCAGAGCAGAAATCCAGCGTTGCTACCATTAAAATGTTAAAATAGGGGAGGTGGTCCTGGTTCTTGTTGAGTGATTCTCTTTCCCTCAGAGTTTAAAGTGCACTGTTTTTTATTCCATTGGACTGAATTGAAGGAATTCCTACCCCAAAACAAAAGCCTTACAAATGCAGGCACCAGCAGGACAGGCGGGCACTCTCGTTGAGGGCGTAGGTTTCTCTGTTTCTCTGTGACAGAACTCAGTTCCTCACACTCTGTGAGCTGCTGCAGTGGTGGGATAGCAAAGGGCAAGCCAGGGCTGTTCCCAGAAGGCAGCAGGTAGCAGGGGTACCGAGAAGGGGGTCTGTGTCCTGCTGAAATGCATCCCAGCACTTGAGCTTGCTGCCAGGAGTCCGAAGCTCCCATCCAAATGGTACATCAGTGCTATTCATTAGGCAGAGGGAGAGAAGGTGGAATTGTGGCTATGGAAACAGCTGAGACCATGTTCCCATCCAAGGTGACAGATATGGCTGACTGCAGTGCTCGTAATATACCCGTGGAAGTCCGCTGGCTGTCTCTACCCTCTTGAAGTTAGGGTAGCAAATGCAGTGTGGTGATGCAATTCAAATGACACCTTGGGGCAGTGGCAGTGGAAAGCCTCCAGCTTCCCATTCTTCTGGCGGGATCCTGTGTTCAGCCTGCATCTCTGAAGCAGCCTCTGAGTTAGACATTACCGTCACCCACACTGCACCTCCAAGACAAATGAGTGTCAGGCATGCAGGAGGCAGGATTGCTGTCTGTCCAGGCCCAACCACCTCAACTGCTGTCCCTTGCGGTGCTGGCAATTCATTTCTCTTAAGTTTTGTCTGTTAATTTCTTTCTTTTTAAATGCACTGGTCAACTGCGTTTCAGGTGTCTGGTGATGAAATATCTGGGGAGAAAAATCACACTGAAAAGTTGGCCTGGCTGCTCCTCCAGCAACCATTTCTGGGGGCTCCCTTAGGCCCTGGTGCCACGTGATCCTGCTGCTTGGAGAACAGGCACATTAACTTTGAACTGGCTTTCAAGATTGGGGGATCTTGGCCATATTGTCTTTTTTTTTTTAAAGATTTATTTTATTTTTATTGGAAAGGCGGATATACAGAGAGGAAGATCTTCCGTCCGATGATTCACTCCGCAAGTGAGCACAACGGCCGATACTATGCCGATCCAAAGCCAGGAACCTCTTCCGGGTCTCCCACGCGGGTGCAGGTTCCCAAAGCTTTGGGCTGTCCTCGACTGCCTTCCCAGGCCACAGGCAGGGAGCTGGATGGGAAGAGGGGCCGCTGGGATTAGAACCAGCGCCCATATGGGATCCCGGGCGTGCAAGGCGAGGACCTTAACCACTGCGCCACCGCGCCAGGCCCCATATTGTCTTTTAGAATCAGAACTGTACTGTCTCAGAAAACATAAAGTATGTATCAGCCAGAATTACACACATAAAACAGCACTATAATTTCATAGCATTTTTTAGCAGCTTTAGTGAAGTATAATCCACTTAGTGTAAAGTTCACTTGTTGAAGGATATAGCTCAATAATTATTACAGAAGATGCACGGAATTGTGCAGCCATCACTATATGCCAATTTCAGAAAATTTCTGTTGCCCTAAAAACATATCTTCTATGTTTGCAGCCAGCTCTGCGTAACTGCCAAAGATGAGTGTACCATTTTGTGTGTCCACTGATAGAGTCTAGGAGGCTCTAATCTCTGCACCCTCACCAGTATTTCTTATTGTTTCTCTTTTTTATTATTGTAATTCTGGTGCACGTAACATGATATCAGTATAGTTTTCCTAGTGATATATTGAGCTTTTCATGTGCTTATTTGCATGCCATGTATTTTTTTTTTCATAAAACTTCTATTCAAAGATTTTGCCTGTTTTTAATTGGGTTATTTGTCATCTTTATATTGAGTAAAAAAAAAATTCATCAGATATCCTGGATAAATGCTGTCAAACACATGATTGCAAGTATTTCCCCCCACTTTCTATGTTGTCTTGAGCTTGAATGGTTACTTTTGAAGCAACAAAAGACTTTTTAATTTTGATAAAGTCTGATTTTACTCTTTTTTTTCATGTGTCCTGGTGCCTTTAGTGCCATTCCTAAGAGAGCTTGTGTAACCCAAGCTCGTGGAGGCTCACCCCTATGTTTGCTAAGAGTTTCATAGTTTTAGTTCTTACTTTTAGGTCTTTGATCTATGGAGTTAATTTCCATGTACAGTGTGAAGTGGAAGTCCACCTCCATTCTTTTGCATATACCTAGCCTGTAGTTCCAGCCATATTCATTGGAAGCTGTTCTTGCCCTGCCCATTGAATTGTTGTCATCATCATCAAAAAATTACGGCTCAAGGGAAGGTATTTGGCCTGGCAGTCAGGATGCTATTTGGAATACCAGTGTGACCCAGCAGAGTAACTGGATCCGAGCGCCACCTACAGCGCCTGATCCCAGCTTCCTGCTAGGAGCACTCTGTGACATGCAGTGACAACCCTCATAGCTGGATTGCTGCCATTCCTGTGGGACACCTGTTCCCAGGTGCAGCCCTGGCTGCTGCAGGCATTAGAAGAGTGAACCAGCAGATGGAGGCTCTCCCTGTTTCTTTCTCAAATAGACAAATCCAAAAATAAAAAATAAATAATAACAATTGATGCTATATGTAAGGATTTCTGTTTGGACTTTCAAATTGGTGTTATTGTTCTCTATGTTAATCCTAATGTCAGTACCACTGTGTTTTGTTGGATTCCCCTGTTCTCCAAGCTTGATTGAGATATGATTGACAGATTTTAAAATGAGATTTTGTCTCAATTTTATTTGAAAGGCAGAGACACACACACATACAGAGAGAGAGAAAGAAAGCAAGATCCTCCATTTATTCATTTACTCCCCAGATGTCTGAAACACCTGGGGCCATAGCCCAGAGCCCCAAATGGGTGATGAGAACCCAAGGACTTGGACTATATTCTGACCACTAGGGCACGCATTAGCAGGTCGGGGCTCAAGCTAAGACCCTGGTAATGGGATACAAGAGTTTGAGTAACTACTTCAATGCTGCAACAGACATACACACCCAAATTGTATATATTTAATGTGTATTACATAGTGTTTTGATGTAAATATACTTTGTACAATAATTCCCACAATCACGCTGACATCCATTTCTTGACATAACTATATATTTTTTCCTGTGATGAGAAGTTTAAGATCTCCTTTAACAAATTTTGAGTATACATGATTATTAACTGTAGTCACCACACTATACATTAAGAGTATATCTAGGGCCCAGCCTGGTAGCCTAGTGGCTGGGGTCCTCGCCTTGCACACA